CACGTGGACACATACATCCACACAAAATAAACAACTCTTTAAAAAACCCAGCCGGGCGTTGGTGGCGCACGCCTTTAATCTCAGCACTCAGGAGGCAGAGGCAGATGTGAGTTCGAGGCCAGCCTGGTCTACAGAGCTAGTTCCAGGACAGCCTCCAAAGCTACACAGAGAAACCCTGTCTCGGAAAACCAATAAATAAATAAACCAAAAAAGAAAATCTAATATATTCATATGTATTATATGGGGCTGGGCAGCGGTGGTGCATGCCTAGCACTCGTGAGGCAGAGGCAGGCGGATCTCTGTGAGTTCGAGGCCAGTCTGGTCTACAGAGCAAGTGCCAGGATAGGCTCCAAAACTACAGAGAAACTCTGCCTCGAAAAGCATATATATATTTGGTTTTTCAAGGTGGTTGAAAAATATTTTGATGATGTGTCAAAATTTGTAAATTTATACTTTTGTTATTATTATTATTATTATTATTATTATTATTATGTTTTGGTGGGTGGCAAATCCACAGCCACAGGCCAGGAGTTCAGATTCCTACTCAGGGTCTCTGAGATGGCTCAGCAGACACAGGTGCTTGCCACTAAGCAAGGGACCTAAGTTCGATTCTTGGATTCACATGGTGGAAGGGAGAAGCTGACTCTTCCCGGTTGTCCACTTACCACACGGGCATATGTGCTCCAACCATAAACATAATCAAATAAATACAATAAAACACCAGCACCAACTAGCCAGTGACAGTGACGACACGGGCTTGTGATCCCACAGCTAGGGAGCTGAAGTAGGAGGAGCCATGGGCGGCTCAATTTATCTACAACAACAAAATCCACTTTTTTTTTCTTTTTTTAAGATAGGGTTTCTCTGTGTAGCCCTAGCTATCCTGCAACTTGCTCTGTAGACCAAGTTGGCCTGGAACTCAGAGATCCACCTGCCTCTGCCTCCTGAGTGCTGGGATTAAAATAGTGTGCCACCTCGCCCAGCTAAAACCCACTCTTATATGGAGTAATGGGGCCACAAGCCAATGACTGCTACCTAACCAACACAGCTGGTGAAGCAGGAAAATGCCTACAGGAGGAGGTGGGTCCGGTAGGCACATGGATATTGGGCTTGTGTCCATCATGGACTCATGGTGGAGAAGCTGCGGAAGCTGCTGGGCCCTGAGCAGCCCTTCCTGGTATCAGTTCCTCCCAGGGTGGCCTGGGCAGCATGCCACCCTGTAGCCCGAGCAGCACCAGCCCTATCTGCTTCCTGCACCCCTGGTCCCTCGCTTCCCCTCTGCTGATCTGAGGGCCAGATCACACCTGGCAAGCGTTGCCGCACCCACAGCCCTTTCCGAAGTCTCCTGTAAACATGAGCTGGGGCTGTGCCCCTGGCAAGCAGCCACGTGTGTGATCTGCTTTTTCCCTGTGTGTGAGGTCAGCATCAGGTGTGCTCCCCAGGTGCCCTCCATCGTGTTTGGAGGTAGGGTCTCTCACTTAGGCTGGGGTCGCCCATTAGACCAGGCTGGCCGCACACAGCATGTCACCTGAGGAGCCAAAGTTCAGAGTGCTCAGGAAGTAGGTGTGATGGCTCTGGTCTGTGAAGCCCCTGCTCGCTCAGGAAGCCAGCCCCGAGAGTGCCATCTCACTTCCGTTTTCCAGCCCAGGCAACTTGTAGCCCATAGAAGGATGGCCGATGAGTACAGCGGAAGTGGAAGTGGCTTTCACCTATTTTCACTGTATTGTTTGGTTTTTCTTTGTTTATCGAGGCTGGGTTTCCCTGTGCGGCCCTGGCACTCGCTCTGGAGACCAGGCTGGCCTCGAACTCACAGAGATCCGCCTGCCTCTGCCTCCCGAGTGCTGGGATTAAAGGCATGCGCCACCAACGCCTGGCTGGGTTTTTTATTTAAGAAATTTAAATTCCGCCGGGTGTCGGTGGTGCACGTCTTTAATCCCCCAGTTCTCGGGAGGCAGAGGCAGG